AGAGAAAGAGAGAGAGAGAGAGAGAGAGAGAGAGAGAGAGAGAGAGAGAGAGAGAGAGAGAGAGAAAGAGATACAAAAGGAATTTTGGAAAGATGACTTAGTTGGCTATCAAGCCGCCCCAAACCCTCTGAAATTCCAAGATTCCAATACTCTGGTCTGACTTGGAAACGGTCCCACTTATGTACTCAACACAAGTTGGGTGAGGACAAGGTGTAGAAAAAAGTTATCCGTCCCAGGATCCAACTGCCCGGTTTACCCCTGTCCTCAGTGAGGGTGATACATGGTATTAGTGGGAATTGCTAAATCAGTGTGGACGGCGGGACACCCACACCCACCCACCTACGCACGCACGCATGCACGCACGCACACACACACACACACGCACACACACACACACACACACACACACACACACACACGCATACACACATCTGATTTGGAGTGCAAGGAGTAGTGTTTTAGTCAACTAGTCAATCACACCAGCCAACACGGTTCAATCAGGCAAAGGGATAGTCAATACATGCAATAAGAATAAATACAAGGAAAGGGTTCTGGATAATAATAAAATCAGGACAATATGGATCTGGCCGCCATTCTTGGGCTCTCTCTCTCTCTCTCTCTCTCTCTCTCTTTCTCTCTCGATCTCCCCGACCTTGCTCCAGGATCCATTAATGTGTACAAAGTAGCTAAAACAAGTATCACGTGAGATATACATCACTGGCAGACTGTATGGTACTACCCAGGGCGCTAGGGCAAGGGCATGTCAAGTATGTGGAGAGTGTTGTGAAGTGATGTGTTGTTTTCCTGTGTGATGGCATTCCCCAGACTGTCTCGTCTAGTAGCGTGCATGTGTGATATGGGCATGCACGATTTTTTAGTCGAGAGTCCTTTTGTCAGTCTTCTTGTTCGTCCCTTTCAGTGTAGTCTGCTTTTCCGTCAAGTCAAAATATAATAATCAAAAACAAAACTAGTCTTGTCCTTTGTGTCCCGCGTCCCGGGGAACGGAATGGCTGTGATTCTGTAACAAGAGTGCGTACAGAAAGAATGCAGTGCAGGTATCGGCCCGTTTTATTCGCCTATTCGGCAAAAAAAATACTGCAGATTCGGCTGCAAATCCAGCTGGTTGTTCGAAAATCGGCTGCAAATTCAGCTGTTTGTTTGAAAATCGGTGAGATAATGGAAGATTTGGTAGATTTGCGGCAATTCTCAAAGGAACCCTCCAAAATCGGCGAAAAGCTTACGATATTTTGATAAGACTCATTTTCGGCGACTTTTTCGGGCCGCTGATTTGGGGATTTTGCTAGTAACGATCTTCCTAAGGGGCCGTCTGTTAATAATTGTATTTACTTCGAGATGTCTAACAGGCATTTCTGGTGGGTGGGTTCGCCTGCGAGGCGTTTCTAAAAAATACATTTCGGAGTGTGTGCATACCATACAGCGCGTGTACATGTACATGATGTAGCACTGCTACAGCTAGTACAGGTAGGCCTTGAGAGTCGAGACGCGCTAGCACTACATTGCACTGCAAGTGTCACGGCAGAGTAGACATAGGGACACATAACCGCTGGCTATAAACTTATATAAAACCGTCAATTTCGTATGGGTTCAAACAGGGACATGAACAAGGTTTCCCTATATCACGAAATTTGCTATTATGCGAGTTCGCTACGAGTGGAGTCGACTGTACTGTGTTCATTTATCAGTGTCTGCTCCAGCGCCGGGTGAGCCGGGTAATCCACCCGGGTGGGCGGCGCTTGGACCCGGTTGAAAATATAGTACCGGGTCACCTGTGACACTGTTGGTACTTTACACTTTCGAACTTTGAAAAGACTGACTACATGGCTTGCATGTGTCAGATACTTCTTCTTCTTTCGTAATTTTCTAATTCCTGTCCTCTCTTTTCTAAATACGGCTTATCTATTCGCCTTTATATCATTGACATTGGGCATAGTTTCCGTTTATTGTCCGGATTAAAATACACCAACCAAACAGTTAAAGCATGTGACTCGGCTGGTGAGACAGCGCCAGGTATTGTGTACCCGGCACCGACCCGGTTGAAATGGTTGCGCCAGGTACACGTGTACCCAGCTGTCCTACAATCCTAGAGCAAACACTGATGTATGTGTGCATAGCATGGTGTTTATTATGAGTGGCATTATCTGCATTTTAGGGGGTCATTGCTGGGGATGGGTGGGTGGGTCAAGAAAGAAACACCTGTTACATGTCTTTAAGTTAATACATGTATTTACGGACGGCCCCTAATGGCTAATGGTTGTTTGGGAGGAGGTCAAAGGGCACGAGTCACACGACCTCAACGCACTGTACTGCAAGTACAACCACTGAAGTAGAGAGCTCTAGCGGTCATGCTTGCTGCAACATCATTCGTTCCTACACGCACTTTGCAACAACAACATTTGGTTGATATTCGGTGATTTTCAAAGGAACCTTCCAAAATCGGAGAAAAGCTTAGCTATTTTTGATAAGTCTCGTTTTCGGCGAGTTTTTCGGCCGGCCGATTTGGGGAAAGCCTAGCTAGGAGAGACAATCCCTAGATTGGTATAAATGTATTATTAATTTTTATAAAATGGGGAGGAACACTTCTCAGCTCTCTTTAACAAAGTGGTCAGGACATAGTGGTCCAACATACGCCTTGTTAATTACCTTAGTTTTCTCCGTTTCCGCTTTCTTGCCAGTTAAGTGGTCAGCTAAACTTTTACGTAGCTCCTTGTATGCCTGATTGATTTTCTGTACACGTTTTCTGAATCAACAGCAGCACAGTTGGGCACAGTGAGAGTTAGACCACACAATGGTAGTATCCGGACCACCGTTCACCCCGTCGGCAACAGAACAGCGATGAGTTTGGCTAAACATTTAGAATTGTTGCGGGAAAGAACCCGGGCACTGCACAAAGCGGGGCGCTTGCCATGATTAATCACACCATCATAATCAACCTTCGGACACCACACACTGACACATGCAGCAGGATACTCTTCTTCAATTCAGTGAGTTGTCACCGGCATCGATTTCGACACAAAACCAGGAGCTTTGCACTTCATTTCAACCGTACAAAATTGCAACAAATGTATGAGTGACTACTGCTCTGCCCAACTGCAGCATGTCCTCGACAACCATCGGCAGCTGAGAACTTCTGTCCCGCCACTTCGACGTGTCGTTGTCTACCACATGTGAAGAAATCAGCAGTAATCGATAGTGATACTGGTAACATTAAACACAGCATGCATTGTGCTGTCGTTATTCATATTTTTAAAGGTAATTGGCTAGGCATACCGTTCTCGTTCCCTGTTCCATTTCAGCCTATACCGTTCGTTCTCCTCGAAAGAAGTAAGTGTTCCCTGAAACGTGTATGATGCCCAAACATGTACAAACACACACACACACACACACACACACACACACACACACACACACACACACACACATACACACAGTCACACATGCACACAAACAGACAAACACACACACACACACACCCACACACACACAAACACGCAGATACACACACATACAAACACACACACACACAAACACTCACACACACAAGAACACACACATACACACACAGTCACACACACCTTGGTCCTTGGTAACACTGCCATCAAATGGTCACGTGTCCCCTGTGCAGGGGTCGACAGCACTGAGTTCAGCATTGGATCCAGAAACGCCGCTCTACTTCCTGGACAGGAAATTAGCACAGCTATGCAGGTCGAAACCACGGGATGACTTGCAGCAGCGACCGCAGCCGAGACAATGCGCTATGCAGCAGGGCAGGGCAACCCGCTGTTTCCGGACCGAGTCTGCCGATGCCACAGCCGAGACCGACGCCACTTCAGCAGCCGAGTTGGAGAGACACTTATGCATAGCTAGCCCGCCAGCACTCAAGAACCATCCCCCGCACGCATTACATAGTCGGCTGCCGGACTGCTCAGATATGGGCTTCCTCCTCTCGGCCAGGCACTTGTGGCGATTCTTGTATTTCTGGTGGGCGAAAGTACGCTGGCAAACATCGCAGAGCACAGAAGTGTCACGCTGAGCACACACACACACCCACACACACAAACACACACACAAACACACACCCACACACACGCACCCACACACACACAACACGCAGATACACACAAATACAAACACACACACACACACAAACACACACACACACAAACACTCACACACACAAGAACACACACACCTATGTGTACAAGAACATACAAGTACATTGTACATGTACATGCACTTACAAACACACATGACTACACACATATATCCACACACACATACGTGCAAAAGTACTGTATTTCCCCGAATATAAAGTCACACATTTTTAAACTAAACTTCAGTTGAGCGTGACTGCTTAATGATGTGAGTGAATTGAAACAACTTGGCTCAGACCCGAAAATGGGGATTCGACCTTTATTCGGAGATATGCGGTACACACACAAAAACACGCACCCATGCCCACAAAAATGTTCAGTATTCCTGAAACCGCTAGCCAGTCTGGTTGCGGAAAGGAATGCTGATCTGCACTATTCCGCTGTCATGAATCACCTGCACTGCAAGATTTCATTTTGCTCAACGCCATGGGCCCTCATGTTCTTCAGGGGCACTCGAACATCCTCTTGCAGCAGGCGGATGCCCTTCGCAGCTGAATGCAGGCTCAGGGCTGGTCAGCAGTAACTTCTTGGTACCACCCTTCTGCAGAAATTTGTAGTCACTGTCATAATAACAAGTCCCTATCACATTTAAATGCGTTGTCTTGTTCTTCCATTGTTGTTCTTACTTTCTACTAATTGTAATGAAAAGAATTGGTAGTAGAAGTAGTGGGCTTGTGTAAACGTGTGCGTATGCGTGTGTATGTATGCGTATGCGTGTGCGTGGGTGGGTGCGTGCATGTGTGTGTGTGTGTGTGTGTGTGTGTGTGTGTGTGTGTGTGTGTGTATGTGTGTGTGTGTGCATGCGTGCGTCTGTGTGTGTGTGTATGAGTATGTGTGTATGTGTTTCTGTGTACCATATTTCCCCGATTATAATTCGATTATAAGTCACCTTGTCCTCATTGGTCCTACCATAACCTTGAAGCTTCCAACCTGGAAGGCTATTGGTTTGCGCAAAGGAGGTGTTTCAGAGCTAGGTCTCCGGTTGTTGAATGTCTCAGTAGCATGTCAGTTTTGTGGCCTGTTATTGCACTTTTTGCCTGCTTCTTATCTTGTTACAGTTGCGGATAGTTGCTCCAGAACTCCTTTCCATGTTGTTAGGTACCTTCTCCCGTACGTTCTACAACCTTTCCAAGCTGGCTTGCATGCACCCTCGTCCTCACCTTTTGTCTCCTTTTGTCACCTTTCATTCCGCTGGCCTGGGTAGCTACTTGCGCGCCCATATTTGCCATAGCAACCCAGGCCCTTTATCTTGTCGCCCTCACTTGATCTCTCTATCTCTCTTCCATAATGTAGTCTTTCCGTTAGTCTTTGTCTCGGTCTCTTCGTCTACAATAAATGTCGTTCTACCTACCTGTTCCCGTTGTCCGTTGTGTCTGGGGAGTATGACTCCTTTTGGTGCTCAACAATGTGATTTCTTCTATTTTTAATTGAAGAATTTTAATATTCAATGGTTTGAGGGAAAGACGTCAACGGGAAAAGTCTGACGAAAATATTGACTGTCACCACCAGGACTCGAACCAGGGGCACTCCTTAGGCTTCGTTCGTAAACGCACATTGCAACAATATTTGGTTGATTTTCTGGGATTCTCAAAAGGAACCCTTCGAAATCAGCGAAAAGCTTAGCAATTTTTCGATAAGTCTCGTTTCGGCGAATTTTTCGGCCGGCCGATTTGGAGAAAGCCTAGCCCTCGCTTGAGTTACGATTATTATTACACGAATATTCCAAACTCGATTTTCGCATTCCACTCGTCAGTGGATGGTATCAGCACTGAGGGTAAGGTGTACGAAAAGAACATTAAGTACTGCAAAATAAAAAGTGTGACCAAAGGAAGTGTTAAACATTACATAACAGCAGTCAGACATAGTGCTAAAAAGTATACTAACTGAGTGCAAACACAAAGCATTGGGTGATACAGTGGAAAATTAACAATATTTTCACATCTGATAGCAAGCTACGAGGACAACTTGAACGCGACTACATGCTTCTTTTTATTTTATACAGGATTTTGCAAACGAATGTATACAGCTTCCAGAACCTTCAACTGTTTTAACACAAACTTGCACGGCACAAAACAGAAAATCATCAAACACACTGAGGCAATCTCGGAAAAGACCTCGGCGGACCTCGGTCTTTTACTCGGCGGACCGAGGTCCGCCGAGTAAAAGACCGACTCAGCCTATATGTCCCATATAGATCTCGTCTTGGTCAATATCCTATACACAAGATGCCACGACGAGAAGGAAGTTAAAAAGAACCCTGATGCACATTCACAAACCCATATCTAGGACAAACACCTAGAAACTGTATACATGCAGTTTACCTGTGATGGTACTCCACTTTCTGCTGTAGTGCTGTTGTTGTTAACCCTTTCCGTGCTGACCCCTTTTACTCCAGCAAACTGCCTTTCCAGCGCACTGACTCTCCTGGTGTCGTTTTCGCGCAAAGGTACGAACGAATTTTTCTCTCAATTCAGTTCGCCTTGATGGATTTTCGTCATCCTGGGCTTGTTGGAAAGATCAGGACCAAGCGAATCCATCCTGGTAGCTCTCCTCTCAATATGCACAGAGGTGCAACTTCTATGTCCTCTTGAAACTACTTCACGATGCCTCGGAAAGGCACAGCAACTCGACCTCACATTCTTTTTCGATTTCTTCTTCCAGTTCAGCCGATTTTCACGATTCAAACTGCGCTGCAAAGCTGAGATCCACGTGCTTCCGCTGGTGTCCATTACGCATGCGCTGCGCCAAAGGGAAATCCCCTGGCACGCAACAAAAAAACTGCGTGAACAAAACGCTCAGTGCCGTGAATTCCGTGTTCACACCGTCGCCGCTCCGTCAATCTTTCACCTATCGCGAAGAACTTTATATTGCTAGAAAGCTGAGCTCAATACCTTTGCAACGGCGTATCGATTATAGCGATAGACTTATTTTTGACGGAGTTACAAAAGTTTGTACACTCATCTATGCGATGTGAAGTACTGCGCAAATCTCATGACGTCTATAGACGTCATTAGTCGTTTGGCGTACAGCGCGCATGACGTCTATAGACGTCATTAGCATGGAAAGGGTTAAGGTCCAGCGGAGTATCCCCGAACCCCGTACTGCTGGAAGCCTGTAAAAAGCAACGGAAAATCCCGAATATACAGTGAGGATGGATCACAGTTTTTTTAAAACATTTCGTAACCTGGACACATTTCAGATGTGTGATGCAGGGTCTCACTTTGACACGAATTCACTCACCGATGCTTGCGATGGCAGGCCTGCATCTGCTGTCGCCGATAGATTAGCTGCTCCCATCTGAGCCACTGCGGTCAACACAAGAGAAGCACCACCAGTACTTGTACTTGGTAATGTAATTTCACAATTTCCAGACAGTCAGCTTGTGCACACCAGCATGCCAGCAGCATTCCTGCGTCCGGATACACCGCCTCAAAATCATATCCCAGCATATAACAAACGTGGACAACAGGAGCATACATCAAACTGCCTTACTTCCTGTGCCGCCCGGATAAGACTGCTCTGTGTTGCCGGAGTAGGAAGTGCCAGTGGCACCCATTCCAGATGGCATGCCGTCACCAAACATCTGCACCGTGAGAAGACCAGCAGTAAAACAGCAAAAAAAAACAAGAAGAAAAACAGAAAAAATGATGGCGATATAAACCAGATCATCTTGATATTTTGGTCCTGCCAATGCCAACTCCACAATTTTAATAACTATCGTCAACTCGTGCGAATCCATTTTTGCTGAATACAACCTCCGTTTCAACGTCGATAAAACTGAGTATTTTGAAACGTCAAAAGACAACAACTGGAAATGCATCAAACTCCTTGGGTCAAGACTTGGAACAGCAGAAGACGTATCACAGAGAATTAGTGTAGCCAACCGTGCCTTCATATCCATCGCTTGGAGGAGACATTCCCTTGTGTCCCGTTTCTGCATGTTTTTAACCCTAGAAGTACCGGAGGCATCATATGATGAATTTGCAAATTTTAAAATGGGATTGCTGTTATATGGGGGCTTAGAATCTCCCCAAATTGTGTGACTTCTATTTATTTTGTATTTTGTTAATGGCAGTGGGTTTCGTTTTCAAAAATTTAGTACCGTTCCGAAATGCCAGGGGGTGCTACCTAGAAGTACCGCGCGGCATCATATGACTCCACATACCATAGGCATCAATAAAAGGGCGAATATGGCTTAGAACCACACGTGAATAACGTGAAGAGGAATACATTTGGGAGCAAGGAGATTGGGGACCATGAAGGTGGTGATTTGTACATATGGACATGCTAATATGCACATTTCACGTGTCCTTATGATCAATATCGTAATCCCGAATCCTGCCGAAACAGACAAATTTGTTTGTCCTAAGTTTGGAAATTGATTCACTATGTCATCTGCAGCATATTACGATATGAAGTGCCAGGGCAGTTATAATATTCTAGGAACGTCCTTTGAGTTTACAATGGTCTGGCGGAAGCCATGTTCAGTAGGCGCAGTGTCGCTGCCGATGAAGCATTTCATTTGATTTTGAATTTTTTGGCCAGGAGGTTGGGGATGAATGCGAGGAGAGTGCCTGGGGCATTGTGCTCGAGCAATTAGAAGTGACCGAACACAGAGACACATAGTTATATGCTCCAGATGAAGATGAGTGAATACTAATTGCTCCGGCTTCTCGATCAGTCTGATACGGGACCGGAGTCGAGGGAGTAAGCGGATAATGGTGGTGATAAAGCTATGGAGCCATACACATAACAGAACATCAATCTCCAAAACTCGTGCAGGATTTCCTTCATGAAGCTGGGTTCTCTGGCAAAGTTGGTAGGTAGTAGAAAATGTGTTGCACCAAGCAAGCGCGAACGCGCGCAACCGGTTGTTGCTTCCGAAGTATGCGGGCTTTTCCGAGATATTCACAATTTTGAAGATGGGGTAGATGCATTATTTGCATTTATTGACCCGAATATGAACCATGTCATGATCAAGTGCACAAGGTAGGAGGAAAAAACCAAAAAAATTGGAGAGGACTCCACTTTGAGTGAAGGCAATATCATGGCATTGGTTTCGCAAATTTACGCAAGAGGCGCCCTCTGTACCCGCAATAATCTGCCGACAGCCCTTCGGCTGGATAGGAATGGACGCCATATAATCAAGTAAAATCCCTAAAAATAGTTTCCAGGAACTACTCTGCTACTTGAGGTTTGATCACGAAGATGATCTCCGGACACGACGTCGAACGAAAATTATTCATTTGCTATGAGTCTCGACACCACGTTCTCCTTTCGCTTGTAAATGTATTGTATTTATCACAGCGGTCAAAGAACGACCAACCTGGCTGAGAAAAATCCAGCAAATAGGCCCAGCAGCCATTTCCGGGGTAACGGACTGAAATGTAGAGTTTGCAGGATGAGAATGGCAAGCAAACGCTTTTTTTATTTTTCCGTAAACTGACGAGAGGTTGCCCTTTCGCTACGCGCAATGCCAGCTGCTGGTCTCCAAGATAGTGCACCTGTCATTGGTTCTTCCTTTTAAAAGGTACCCCAAGTACTTCTGTTTCTACACATATTGCCGATAATAATTCCAAGTAGGTATGTTTAAGTCCAGTGGAGTCATATGATGCCTCCGTAATTCTAGGGTAGTTGAAATTTTTGTACTTCTAGGGTTAAATTGTCTAATCATGCCCACTCTGTTATATAATTGTGCCCTTTGGACATTGTCCAAAGCCCTTTCCTCAAAATTTGATATATGGCATAGGAAAAAGCTGAAATTTCTCATGAATATCCACCATCCTCACCACATCACCAATAATCACCTGTACTCCCAAACCAATAACATCCCTATTACCTCTATTTGCAGAGAACGTCGACTTCTATGGTTTGGCCACGTTGTCCGACAAGGCCCAAACTCTCCATCATACCAGGCGCTGATGTTAGCCACTGACACCTCTGACATCAAGAAGCCATGTGGACGCTTATCTTTGATATTTATGACCCACCCAAGTTGGGTGGTGTGCTGCTTTGCTGCTTCGAATTGTAGTTAGACCGCTTTGTCAAATATCGTACTGGTCTCGTCATCGTCCAGTAACAATCGACATTCTTTGTTCCGTTGGGACTGTAGCTTTTGCTCGTTTTCGTTGCGCTTGCCTTCCCCTCTTTGGTCTTTCCGTAACCTTGAACCTTCCCAGTTGGAAGGCTGTCGGTTAGCGCTACGGAGATGTGTTGAAGCTAGGTGTCAGGACGTCGAATGTCTCAGTACTCTGTCAGTTTTGTGCCTAGTTATTGCACTTTCTGACTGTATAAAGTATCATGTTACAGTGATGGAGAGTTACTCTTAACTCGTATCCATAATGTTTTTTCCTTTCTACATTATAAATATTATTACTCATATATTATGTGTGTATATGTGCGTGTGTATGAGTGCATGCATGTCGTGTCTGTATGTGTGTATGTGTGTGTGTTTGTCTGTCTGTGTCTGTTCACTCACACTGCTCTGGTGTCCCGAGAGTGCCTTCACCGAAGATCCAGAGTAAGAAGTGTGACCATGCTGCAACGGTCTGTTGCCAGGACTATAGTACGGAGAGCCCGTATCAGCGTCTACTGCTGTGCCACTCGGTCCACTGAGGGAGGATGCCGTTGGCGTGTTACCATACTGTGACTGGTGTAGACTGCTGCCAGTCTTTGCTGGTGGTAGGGGAGGTCGTTGTGGTTGCTGCTGTTGTTGCCGCTGCTGCTGTTGTTGCTGCGTCATTGCCATCGAGAATGCAGTGGACCCATGTGTCCACTTCAAGGAGAGCACATCATCAGGAATATCACGAAGAAATTACAGAATACATTGCCAGCCCTCGTCAATGACACGGAAAAAGAGCACAGTGATTCAGAAACCCCGAAAAGGGAAATGATTTCCACTTGCACAAGAGTTCTGCTACTGTAGCCCAGTATTTCAAACACACCAACATGCCTAGCTAAAGTCTGCATTGGTAATAATGATTTCTACAGATTCTGCTCAATCCAACCAGCACATCCATCTAAGTTCTCTAACGCTAACTGAGACGGAATCAATGCAAGATCTGGTCATATGCACATAGCACCTATTGGGTAGGGCACTGTCCTGTCGAGACAGGGATGCTGGGTTCGAATCCCGTTTGTGGATCCTTCTTTTGTTTGAACCATCCAGTGCTGGATCAAAGTTGTTTGTTGAACTGACAAGGACTCATCTAGAATGTAGCTTAGGGAATTTCCCTGAACGTGTACCCCTTGAATCTCTATCGACCTTGATAGTATTCACTTTAAAAAATCAAGCAATGAAAAGTCATCCACAGTAATATTTTTGGTAGAAGCATGGCTAGTCATACTGAAGTCAAAAACTGTGTTCACCCTGATAATCCGCCATGCCCGAAAATTTGGTGAATATTGTGTTTGAGTTCAGGTACCCCAATATCAAAAGAGACTCAAGGGTCATACACGTTCCGGGAAATTCCTTAAGCTACAGTCTAGACGAGTCTTTGTCAGGTCAACAAACAATCTTGCTCCAGCATTGGATTGTTCAAACTGTTGCAAGAGAAGAATCCACGAGCAGGATTCGAACCCAGCACCCCTCTCTTTCCAGAACAGTGCCCTACCAATTAGGACCCGGTTACACATGCACTCGAAAGTAGCGGATCCGCTGAAGCGACATCAAACGAGCGAAAAATACAAGGGTAACAGCGAAAAGCGGAGCTTCCGCTTCAGTGGAAACTCCAATCCGCTTCCTCCAAAATTTTCGAAGCGAGACTGTCGCTTCTGCGGTTTCGCTTCAGCGGAAAACACCACGGTCTGCTGTATATGGACTTGATACGAGAAATTTGTATGCATATGTCCATGCAACAAAAATGCGTGCAAGATAGTCATTGACCTTGTCTATTCTCCGTGCCGTATGCACCACAATCCACTTTACTCTCATTTTCCGCCAAAGTAGGAGTTTGCCCTGTTTGTATGTGTGACCATACACACGTGGTTTCGCTGGAGCGACACCAGGCTCGCTGTCGCAAAACCTTGATGCCGAAGCGAACCCCAGTGCATATGTTACCGGGCCCTTAGGCTACCGGGGATCACACACACCCATCCCGTGGGTCCTTCTTTCTACAAAACTCACTAGTGCTTTGCTGCGGTCCATGCTTGTCCACGAAGGCTGTTGCTGCTGTTGCTGCTGATGGCGTTGCTGGCGTGCTAGCTGTGGCTGCTCCGGGGGTTGCTCCCGGGATTCAGGTGATGCGTGCGACCGTGCTGGCAGACCACCAGACCGCGCCGGTGGTCTCTACAAGGAACGGAGAGATCACCAATAACAGGATTCAACACAATAAATGAAGCAAGTTGCCCATTCATCATGCACATCTTTTGCGAGAGGTTAATAACAGGATTAGGATATTTTCAGAACAAATTCACCATGCACATAGAGAATTGGAGCACATATTAAAACGGTGCCAACTGGCAGGTATTTAGGCAACACTTACCGTATCACTATTATCAGATAATAGCTGGCAATCCCAAGGTGACTTATATGATACAGGAAATGCCTGCAGTACCCCCTTTTATACGGTAACATAGTCCAGGATGCCGCTAGGCGTAAGCCGCATGTTACTAAGTGTGAACAGGTAAGTGAGAACTTACGGGGAGGGGGGGATCAGTGCTAGCTTGTGAATGCATTTGCTGGCCCACTGGGCATGGTGTTGCTCAAAAGTGATACAATTTGTGTAAAACGAATGGTTATGTAGGAGGCGCTGGCTACACCGCCAGGGAGTGCGAGAACAGGCTCACTATTGCCACTAACTCAGGTGCTGCATCACGTGATGATATTGAACTTTGGTAGCAGCAGCAACTTGTTCATGTGGGAACATTTGGGGACAAGCTCTATTCTACTACAGGTGATATTTAGTCGGTTGTGCTGGCACCCCCCCCCCCCCCCTCTCCCCCGACTGTGGTACCTACGCCCTCTTTTTCACTCTCCATTTTGCACCACATTTAGCACTTCTGAGCAGTGAAAGATAGAGATCTGATTTACATTAGCATTTGCTGCAGAGAGTTAGTGTTTATTCATTCTTCGTTCATCACTTCGACTAGCCTGCATCCAGTAGCTACTGACTTACTTCTGTGGCTTTCAGGTTCACCCATCGCTATGCCTTCCACGTACTCTGGTCTGCTCGAAGTGTAAGGCCACACTTACATTACTTTGACGTAATTTCCGTAAATACATCACCATAGCACCCTCAGCTACTCAACAATCGTTCCATTCCTTTTTCGTCATCATAATAATTATACTGCTAGCAGTATAAATCTCAGGAAGCATAGACGCCTAGCGCCTGTTAGCGATGCGACTTTGGAATAAAGGTACGACGACAACAACAAAAACAAGGGATAGGCAAGGGAAATGCGAAAAGGGGAAGGGATGGGGATAGCCAGGTTCGCATTATTATTTTTTTGTTTCTGCGACACCCCAATGCAGAGCAACGACTGTGTGTTCGCTCTTACATGTACGTGCTTGCTGGTCTTAGTTCGTTACCATGGTTAGACAAAGAGCCTGAGGCTAGGGAGGTGTCGACATCTTTGTCAAGGAAGCATGTAGAAAGGACTAGATACCGGTACGGCGGTAGTGGCAAGTAGTGCAGTAGTGGCCTGCTTTTGCACAAAGCCTGGCATCACATTTCCAGGAAGCTAGTGCTCCCACGAAGCAGAAAACGCGAGAACCTACTCAACACAGACTGAGTCAGTCCTGTACAGAACAACAAGGGCAATCAAGACTCATTATTTGCTGCGACTTGAAGTAGTTTCATGCTCTCACAATCATCAGGCAACATGAAGGTTGGGTGCCGACCATGCCAGTATAATATACCGGTATGCCAGGAGAAGGTATGAAAAGCTGTGAGAATGTGGGGGCTAGCGGTGCTATCTTACTTAGGCAGGAGGCTGTGTGCAGAGTGTGTGGTTGTTGAAAGCAGGGGCTAGTAGTAGTGCAATGTTAGCGCAGAATGTGTGGGTGGTGTGGGCAAGAGGTGGTGAGCAATGATTATGTGTGTGGATGTTGTAGGCAGGAGGCTATTCTAGAGCTAGCAGTGTGATACTAGCGCAGTGTACATGTATATGGCTGGTGTGGGCACAGTTCTGTATGTAGATTTACTGTCTTGCCGGCCGTCGGCTAAGCCAGGCAGGCCATAGGAGTTATGTACGATTATTATTTGTAACTCTTTTTGCGCCTTTTTGCACGTCCAATGTCGCAGCTCTTGACCCGTCCTTTCCACTGGGCAGTCAGTCGCCTTGAAGTCACTTCCGATGCCGCAGGTCCTGACTCGTCCCTTCCAACACACCGCCTGGTCACCCGTCCGGTGTCTGATTCTTCCGTTGTCTTGATCAATGGCTTTCGTGGTGGTCTTCCACGCTTTCTCCCACTTACACTCGTTGTCACTTCCAGTATTGCCGCCTGGTGGTCTCCTACAGTACGCATCTGAACCTGGCTGCGAGTGACTCTTCGAGTAGGTGTCCTTGGCATTGTCTTCTTCTGTGTAGTTTCACCAGCTCTGCACCTCTTTGCCTTGCCGACGGGTCAAGAGCTGCGACATTGGAGGTGACGAAAAAGACGCGACATTCTAACAATCAGCAATTGGCTATCAAGAGTCATCTGTTGGTTAATGATAGTTGTCGTGAGTTGTACAGAGATGATGTTTTCTCAGTTTTGGCCCGTGGCAGATCTGTCTAACATTTGTCTGTTTTGGAAGCGTTATAAACTTATTATATTCGTAAGTTGTCCCTTGAACCATGTGTTCAGCGGAAGGAAAATGTGTTGCCACTTCAGTCGTTTGGCGCTAATCCTCGTGAAAGTGTAAGGAATGCTTTTCCTCGCTGATGTTTTCATTATGTTTTAGTCATTTCTTCACCTTCACCCTGTTTTTGACAGGTTCTGCTGAATTTTATTTTTTCCCACGCGTATAGTGTGAGGTTTTCGATCTATGCTTTTGCTGTAGCTCTATAAGTTGCTGTATTTGGACATTTTCCATTATTCCCTGTACTTATGTAATAGGTAGCCGAGTGGTAGGCGCGGTGAAATCAACAATAATTACTTTTATTCTACTTTCAGGTACACACCTGAGATATAATCGTTCGTGAAAGATGAAGCGGCAAAATAAATAACTTTCTCTCCGGTGCTCACCTAGAGGCTGAATCCTTATTCTTCGAGTTAGCTTTCATTGCTATCCAATCTAATCTAATCTTCTCTTCATCAAAACAGAAATGCGCAGCCGCTTTTATGCAGCAGACGACGTACGCTTACATACGGAGATACACTAAATATACATCAGGCAAGCTCCGTATTAGTTCCGTACTGCTTCCGTATTGGTCGGGCAGGGATACTACACCCTCCCTTCCTACAGATAATCACGCCCTCGTGATTATCAAAAAATTAGTGAGGAGTTACGAACAACAGCGTCAACCGGAAGATGGCAAATTATATCGGAAATGATAACGTTTAGAGTAGACAGAAGAAATGAACTGATAACAAATCATAAAGTAGAAGTAAAAGCACACCAGGTTCACACCATCTCACGGGGTCAAAAGGGGAAAGAACTGTCCTCCAAATAGGACCTGAAAAACTACAGCACTCTTGCTGCACAACGCTGGCACAACCCGCCAAGAACATCGCAGTTCAAAAAACCTAACTGAATACACTATCAAAAAGTATTCTTTCTAGACCAAAGAGTGGTATATTTGATAACATTTAATAACGATAGAAATTTTTACGATACTTCTCCAGACGTTTCGTTGTTCTGAACAACACTGACGATGTTGTTCAGAACAACGAAACGTCTGGAGAAGTATCGTAAAAATTTCTATCGTTATTAAATGTTATCAAATATACCACTCTTTGGTCTAGAAAGAATACTTTTTGATATTACAATGAGAGTGAATAATCAACGGCTTGTCCACCAACTCTTTGAATACACTATAACTATAAGGGGCGTTGTCACACACATTGTCCCACGTTAGCTGGGTAAGCCGTGGCTCACCATGATCAGACGCCTACCAAACTAAACTGGATTCACACACTCGCATAAAGGAAGACTGAAGAGAAAAGGGAGACTGAAGGAAGACAGGAAAGAAAATGCCATACCTGGAATCAGCGTTAGTAACCACGGCGGCGGCTGGAGCTATGGCCAGTATTGGCGGAGGGCGAGCCAGGTTTTATCTTTATCTTGGTTGGGCCGGTCACTCAGAGCGGCTAGCTCGGCGTCAGACAGATCACTCCCTCCTCGTCTTGAATCATGGTCTTCACATTGTCGATAGCATCGCTTGGCGCAACGTAAAGAGTGATGGTCTAGCCAGGAAGAGTGTGGACGAAATTCTGCATTCCACCACGGAGACGAAGTACCAAGTGAATAGTGGACTCCTGCTGAACGTTGTAGTCACTCAGGGTTCGGCCGTCTGCCAACTACGCGCCGGCAAAAATCAAACGCTGCTGGTCTTGGGGAATACCCTCCTTGTCTTGGTCAGCAGCCTGCATGTCGTCGTCCTCATCAGCTTCGCCATCACCACCGGTAGTATACATGTAGGTAGCGGGTTGCTTGGAATCGCCATCGGCCAGGCCCAGGAAAGCATGAAACACGATTCTCATCTTGATTCGTCGCACGGAGCTGCAGCGGGTTGAGCCATGGGGGTCTGGGGTCGAATCACGTTGTTTTATTTTACAAAAACACACCGCTGCCACCAATGTAATAGGTAGCCGAGTGGTAGGCGCGGTGAAATCAACAATAATTACTTTTATTCTACTTTCAGGTACACACCTGAGATATAATCGTTCGTGAAAGATGAAGCGGCAAAATAAATAACTTTCTCTCCGGGGCTCACCTAGAGGCTGAATCCTTATTCTTCGAGTTAGCTTTCATTGCTATCCAATCTAATCTAATCTTCTCTTCATCAAAACAGAAATGCGCAGCCGCTTTTATGCAGCAGACGACGTACGCTTACATACGGAGATACACTAAATATACATCAGGCAAGCTCCGTATTAGTTCCGTACTGCTTCCGTATTGGTCGGGCAGGGATACTACACTTACACATGATGAGAAGGGAACGAAAACGTTCGCTTACAAGATTGGCGTACTTGACTGTGTGGATTGCTGACATTTTTTCTTTCGAAATTGGATACGCCTCCAATTTTTTCCTTACATTTTTATTAATTTTTTAAGTTAACTCAGATGGAGAGAAAGTTTAATTTATACAAAAGAGAAAGACGAAGGAACTACAAGGTACGCTATACTGTCCACTAACACCACCAGTTACTAAACAATCAGCTCATGCGATAACATTGCACGACACTGACCGACGGTACTGACGTTCTGCAACTAACTGGCTAACAGCTCTAGCACATCTTGGATGCGCACTCCAACAGCCTTATTAACTGGGAAGGTTCTAAGTTATAGAAATAACACGCCGGTCAGTGTCGTGCAATGCTATCGCATGAGCTGATTGTTTAGTAACTGGTGGTGTTAGTGGACAGTATAGCGTAACTTGTAGTTCCTTGGTCTTTCTCTTTTGTATAAATTGTTATTATTATTATTATTAAATTGTTATTATTATCATTATTTGTAGTTCCGGTGGTAGATCTCCTTGGACATAATAATCATGGGTGGATCAAAATGAAGTGCCATGCCCAAGACTCAAGAATAGATGCATGCCACCAATGTCAGACAGCGCCTGTTGCTACATGTACATGACAAGCACGCAGGACGAAAGCAAACCACATAAAACTGGCCTCTAAAGACAGGGACAGCTCAACACAAAGCTGCATGATGACGACCATAAAAAGTACCAACATGATAATTCTAATGTTATCGCATGGTCGCGAGTTATTGACTGAGGACGAGGTCAACATAGGAAAAAAGCCGGGTAAAAGATAGAGGTGAAGCCGGGTTATTTTACGAGGTTCTATTTTGTATGTTGATAGTACGAGGACAGCGAGGTTCGCCCCCTTGTCGGGCATTGTTTCAACCATTGTGAGACTTACCATCTCAGCCTCGCCGTTAGGAGTTGTATCTGCCACCCAGGTATCACAGGCATAGTGGTGGCCTGGCACATGCACAACTTCCTAAGCCGGTTGTGTTTCTCAATACAATTGAATTGCAAAGCCGGTGGTAACGCGGAAGTGCGAACTTTACTTTTTTTTTAACAAAGTCACTACTAGATTGTTGTCAAGACAACGCAAAACATGTCTTTTGATCCCTAAAAAGGAGTCAAATACAAACAGTCCATACAGCCCTAGCATGAGGAGTGAAATATGAAGAAATACAACTGCTTAGGTATTGGTCAATGGGAGTCAATACTAAAAGAGTGATAATATGCCAGGAGGCCCGCAGCAGCCATGCTATAATGCCAGCTGCTGGTCTCCAAGATGCTGCACCTGTCATTGGTTCTTCCTTTTAAAAGGTACCTTTTACCCCAAGGACTTCTGTTTCTACACATATTGCCGAAAATAATTCCAAGGAGGTATGCTTAAGTCCCGTGGAGTCATATGATGCCTCCGGTACTTCTAGGGTAGTTGAAATTTTGGTAGTTCTAGGATTCAAATAGTAGACAGCTCAAGGAGCTCATCTTGTTCATAGCATCGACAGTCATGTAATGCCCCCGCATCTGCAGCCAGGAGCCCAGATATTCTAACTCAGTCTGAGGCACAGCAGCCTATCTGTGAGACCGATTCACCATACGGCAGCAGCAGGCACACTGTCATCGCACGAACATTTTAATCAATGTCATTTTTATTTGAATATTTATTTTTCCTGTCCACCGTCGGAACTGTCATCGTCGTAGTCGTCCTCAAACTGACCAGCACCGCCAGAGGCAAAACTAATTCCCTGGTTCCTGGCCTTCTCTTCCTCACCCTGCTTCACGAATTCAGCCCCAGTGTCCATGTTTTGGCCTGGATAGAGAGAGAGAGAGATAGATAGAGAGAGAGAGAGCGAGAGAGAGAGAGAGAGAGAGAGAGAGAGAGAGAGAGAGAGAGAGAGAGAGAGAGAGAGAGAGAGAGAGAGAGAGAGAGAGAGAGATAACAATGAGATGAGAGTCACAGACAGACAGAAGGGAAACAAGAGGAAGTGGCTAGCATACCCGGAATGCAACAAGCCGAGAAGTACGGCAGCAACGCTTGCTATCTGATCCACACCCATGCCCATTCCCATACCCATGACACATTTTGTCCACACAGCAAGGATCACCCGGATTGTGTGTGCCATCGGGATCCCCTTATGCAGTCTCCAACTAACTACTATAGTGAAGAGTATTGTTTGTAGAGACTCAGAGTGTGTTGAGAAATTCTCTTGAAACTTGGCCGACCCAGCAATGTATTATAGTACAGGGTGGTTTTGGGAGTAATCATGCCAATTAACCCTTAGAGTCCATAACTTGTGTACTTCCCACTTATAAATTTATAATTTGTCGCAGTCATGAAGATACGAAATCACTATTCAGCATACATTTGGTTCAACTTCACCAATTTGAAGATCTTGGACTCGTTAGGAAGCTCTTGGTGAGAGGACTACAATGAGCCCAAGAACTACTCCTTATCCACCACAACGAGATCAAGATGTGAGTCCAGTTCCAGATCCGAGACGAAATTGCTCTCAACAGACACTTCACTGTACCTAGCTTGGAACTGCTCAAATCTTTTCGTGCCTGACTTGGCAGATGCTGACTGCCCTGAAGTTGGGTAAATCCAATTTCCAAGCACTGTTGACTCGCAGCACAGATCTCAGAAAATGGAAAAAGTTCGATCGATCACCATTCTCTCAAATCTCATCGGAGAGACTTACCTGTTTAAGGCGATACTTTCGAGTTTTGCCGCCACCCAGACATTTCAAATGTTGAATTTGGTTATGATTTTGCCGAGTTAAGAAAGTTGGGCTGTACCCACGTGCTCACAGTCAACAGGTCAAAATTGAAGCATGGACGTCAAAGGGTTTTAGGTGTACTTACTTATGATCTTTTCATCGAGAGCATTAATAACCTGAACCGCTTCCCGAAGTATGTTGAGCTGTAAGTAACAGCAACAACAGCAGCAGAAGCAGCAGCAGCAACAACAACAACAGCAGCAGCAGCAGCAGCGACAGAAACAACAGCAGCAGCAGCAGCAGCAGCAGCAGCAACAGCAGCAGCAACAGCAGCAGCAGCAGCAGGAACAGCAGCAGCAACAACAGCAGCAGCAGCAGCAACAACAGCAGCAGCAGCAGCAACAGCAACAGCAACAACAGCAGCAGCAGCATCAGCAACAGCAACAGCAGCAGCAGCAATAAGAGCAGCGAAAGTGACAATTTTAGCCCATATGTCCAGCGGGTACCACTGTATATTCTGAATACAGCATTAGCCTGGATACCTCGCCTAAGAAGTACAATGTACTTGAATGTAGCAACATTGAAGTTAATGTGCCCTCTAAGGCTTTATCTTATTTACCGTACACTTGCATACTCACAATGGGCATTCACATACCCAAACACATGCACCATACCCGCACCCGCACCCGCATACCAGATATATCATCCTCTTCCGGAAATGAGTGCTGCAGATGGTCAGGGTGTTGCGTAACGAGAAATCCAACAACTCCATCGCAGCCGCGATCACCATTGCCAAAGCCTCCATGGACATCGCGCCACAAACCAGAAGACTGAGGCTCAACAGCAGAACCCACACGTGCATTGAAGTCCCCAAGGACCATCCAATGATCTGAGACAGGAACAGCCATGACAGCCTGCTCCGCGCCCAAACGCCGCTCTGACACGCCGCCTCAACAAGACTGCGACTCCTTCTACACGAGTGAACTTCTCAGTCGACTGAGGTCTACCTGACGATATAGCCAACCCTTCACCAACAGAGTACGACGCAGTGCCGAACCATTTCATTTCCTGCAGTCCAATTGCCTCCAGACCCAATTGCATGGCCTCAGCGACTACTAAATGTATTCTTGTAGCTATGCAGAAGACGTTACTTCAGTAACGTCTGGCGCTAGCCACGGTCCACACAGCTTTAATTTGGTGTTTGTTTGTTTGTGGCGGACGGACCTCCGTCTGGCGCTATCTCGTATCTGTCCCGTACCGTACCATCAAAGACAGCTGGCCACAAACAGCTGGCCACAATCAGGGATTCGTAAAATACCAGTATTTTATGACTCCCTGGCCACAATATTCAAATAGGGCTTTCAAATGCAAGATCATAACGTGAAGCAACTTGGAAGAATGAGTATGAATGCAAAGTGTATCGGGTAATAGATGTAGGGCAATTGTGCGGTTCGAATCCCAGGTTATACCTGAAAAATAATAGGAGAATTGAAAAATGTATAACATCCCTATGCTTTTTTGCCTAGGGCTGTGTTTACATGAGGCGTTTCAACCCGGGTCAGATCCCCCAAGGGGAGGGTTGAAATCAACCTGGGTCAAGAAAATCGTACAAACGTACTTCTGCGCGTATCTCGCGCCAGGTTTGAACAGCACTGCAGATGCAAATTTCACGCCAACGGATTCACGTGACCATGCAGGACTGTAGAAGTGGACTTTTGGCGGCATATCAGTATTTGACCCGGGTCAACTGTCTTCATGTAAACGCTCACCTCTTTTGTCTATCGTACAGACTTTCAACCCGGCCTGAACTCGACCCGGGTTGAAATTTCTCATGGAAACACAGCCTAGGTCATCAAGGTGGTAGACGATGTCGTATTACCCTCGACCGTACCTGTCCCGTACCGTACCGTAGCATCAAAGACGGCTGGCCACAATATTCTAATAGGGCTTTCAAATGCAAGATCATAACGTGAAGCAACTTGGAAGAATTAGTATGCATGTGCGAAGGGTAACGTTGTAGAAGCAGCAGGAGCAACAGCAGCAGCAGCAGCAGCAGTAGCAGCATTGGAAACATACTGGCTACCATACCAGGCTCCGTGCCTAAGCACAAACATTGGCAAAAGTCAGTAGCCCACCAAATATCCCAGAGAGGTGTGAGGTAAAACATGCTGTGTTTTATTTCTCTCACAGCAAATGAGAAGGTTGGCCAACAACTAACGGGTAACTTATCGAACCGCCACTTCGTCAGTGCTGGCGTACAGGTTGACCCTGACGCTCCTATTCCCACTATTTCCTCTCTACCTCCACCAGCAACTACATTGCACTCCTTGATCATCACCTCATTGACTATTTACAAGTATATCGCAAGGCTGCCTCTGAATAAATCCCCCGGAGCTGATAAGATCCACAATGAGATTCTCAGGAAACTGAGGTAATCAATTGCACGCCCACTCTCCATTCCTTTTGACCTATCCCTCTCTTGAGTATTTCACTCCTGTTCTTGTAGCAGTTGAGCACTCTCATGTGGGGTAGTGCCTTTGCTGTTTGTATTATGCAGTGCTCACTGACTTGTCGGGGTTTGAGCACTCTGGCAAGGTACGTTCGGTCCCGGTTTAAATCTGGCTTTGGAAAATTTATTTTTCATTGCTATCAGGTTCGGCCTCATTTTCTCTGTGCTGCGCTGAGTCCACAAAGGACGATACAGTTCTGTCCGCAGATTGAGTAACCTATCCCTCTCCTCTGCCACATTCCCCTCACGATGGAAATCAGCCACCGTCATTCCAGTGTACAAAAATAGAGGCGACAAGAACACCGAACCCGTCTAATTACCGACCAATCTCCCTCCTGTCCTGTGTCTCCAAACTGCTAGAGAGGATAGTGCATGACCGCTTGCATGACCATATCTCCCCTCTTTTTCAGCCCTCACAATCTGGCTTCGGTCGTAAGGACAACACATCCCTGCAAATTAATTCAAGACCTCTGCTCTCTAAAAGACCAGCGGCAGGTCTCCTGCATCTGTTTCTTTGACCTGTCCAGGACCTTTAACACCGTGTGGCACAAAGCCTCATTGTCAAACTTCGTGCTCACGGTCTCTCCGGCTCCCTACTCGCCTGGAAAACTAGTTATCTATCCGACCCAAATCAGCACGTCACAATGAATGGAACTCTATCTGACCCCGAATTTCTTTGACGTCCGGAGTGCCCAAGGGCTCCATTTTGGCTCCCCTGCTCTTCCTCACATACGTTAATGACCCCCCCCCTATGCAATTCCAAATATAGCATACGAGCAGCGTTCCTACGTCCGGATTCACTGTGTCAACATCATATCCCACCACAACCCTGGACAACAGCAGCATACATCAAACTGCCTTACTTCCTGTGCCACCCGGAAAACACTGCGATGTGGCGAAGGAGTAGAGAGTGCCAGTGGCACCCATGCCCGGTAGCATGACGTTACCAAACATCTGTACAGAAGACCAGCAGTAAAGAATACCCAGTTACTGAGACCAAGCAGTGGAAATGTGTCAGGGTTTTGCAAAGGTGAGAAAGAAAGAGCGGAGAAAACAACTGATGCAATACTTTGACCCCGGACGAAAAGCGAGTGTCTCTGCCACAGCGCGTTCCCCAGCGCTGTACACGCCTGTATATACATGAATGTATTGAAGTGCCGCAATGAATAAAACGAGTGCTCAAAATCCAAACGGGGACACTTTTGCGAACGGTACCTGCGATTATCACGCCACATACATACCGTACTCGCACGATTAGAGCTCTCTCTTGAATAGTGTCCTATCTCGAATAGTGGCCTAGTCTGCAAGAGCCAGTGAAAAATAAAGCCCTTTCTTGAATAGTGCCCCCCCCCCCCGGTCTTGTAACAAAGCCCATGTGCAAGTTTAGTGGTCTTTTGCTAATGTTCTTGGCCAATACTGGTGTTTTCAGGAACAAAATAGCAGGTCTTGTTCCCGTTTCTGTGAAGTCGTGAGCGTTTACAGTACACGTTAGGCTCTGTTTTTCTTTGTTTTATGCTGGATGACGCAAATGTGCAAGCAATGAAAAAATAGTGCCCTCTTTTGAATACTGCCCCATCTGTGATTCACATTGAAAAAATACTGCCCCATCTGTGATTCACATTGAAAAAATAGTGCCCCAGGGGCACTAATCGCGCGAGTACGGTATACAAGGACCTTCCTTGATATTCCAACACTAACTGTCTTATACAGGGTCTGATCCAGAGATCTCTACAGGGGGTTGTAGTTTATCCAAAGCTGAATAGCTGATACATGTATAGTACATGCATATGGATTCCAGTAGGAGATTTGTAAAATTTAGGGGGTTCCCCTTAACCCCCGGAACCCCCTGGACCCGTCCCTGTTATAGCCTTCAGCACCTTACCTGGGGGAGTTCCTCCCTTTGCTTCTTCTCATGAGCTGCTTCGTGTTGCGCTCTTTCTTTCGGTGCCCTTGAAAACGTTTTCACGTCAATGCATGCTCTCTGGTTCACGTCGGCAGCCCGTAATTGCTGCTCTTCAGGTTTCAGGTCCTTCAATTTTTCATCCGGCCCGAGCCCCAATTGTTCCTTGAGATTTTGAATTTCTAAATCTTTAGCATCCATTTCAGCCTGCATCACGTGACCAAACAACAAGTGAGGCAGAGTACAGCAAGGGTACGACAAGAGAGCACAGAGTACAGAGTACAGAGTACAAAAGAGTACGGCAAGCATTCATAAAATGAGAGAGTCAAGAAGTGAATGGAGGAGGGAACAAAGTTAGAGCTCTTTTCGTCTTTTTTCTTTAGTTCACAGCCTGTCTGTTGCCCACTCCCAGCGGATAAGGCGCAGGTGGGCGGTGATCTTCTCTTCGAACGTCTGCAGTCCTTTCTTTGTTGGCGGGTTCGGCTGAACGCACTGCGGGAGCTGGTTCCAGACCTCCACAACGAGCATGCCGTCCTCCAGGATCGGGCGAACAAAGCCCTTGTTGATCACGCCAGAGCTTCTGGAGTCCAGCAAACGTGAGGATTCCCGGAGGAAGCCAATACGCTGCAAGCCTCAAGTAGCCAATTGACTGATATGAGCTGTGAAGGACAGGTGTTGCTCAATCAGCACATCCAGCGGCTTCAGCTGGTCGACGTCTGGAACAAATGTGCCCTGGAATACAATCGGTGGGACGACGGCTGTGTTGCGATGATGAGAAATCAGGAGGGACTGAGTCTTTGTAGGTTCAAACCTAATGTGCCAGGCCATTCCCCAGTCTGCCAGCGCATTTACAGCAAGCTGGAGTGCGGTAACATCTTTGGGTATGGCAGTATCGGTCGATATTCACTTGTATAAGGTGGTGTTATCAGCATAATACAGAAAGCTGGGCTCCAGCAGGTAGGTGATCCTCAGCATTATTCGTATAGAGTCGGGCCCAAGATGCCAACATGGGGGACGCCTGCCATGATGGGGTTAGCAGAGCGCTGTCCGCTCACTACAGCCTGCAGCTTGCGGTTGGCGAGGTAGCTTCTGAGCCAGGGTGAAGAGATCCCTGGAGCCCATACCGCTCAGCTATGTACAGGACACCAGGGCGGGACACTTTATTGAACGCGCCAGCAATATCCACTGCCAGGACGCACACAAGTCCTCCGCTGTTGACAACTCGGCTCCATTCGTGTTGAAGAGCTAGGAGGTCAGTTGCGCCAAGTCCAGAGCGGACGCCAAATTGACGAGCAGAGAGAATGGAGTTGCTATCGATGAAGTTCATAATGCTCCGGTTGATTATGGTTTCCATACATTGGGAGATAATGGAGAGAAGGGATATGGGGTGGTAGTTTTTCACACAGGATTGCGAACCCTTCTTGTGAACCGGGACGACGTTCGCCACTTTCCAAGTAGATGGTATGTATGCTGTTTGCAGACTTTTATCCGGGATTGTGTCAACTTGATACTTTGGGTAGTACTTCGTCTATAAGAGCATGCGCTTATAAGTGAAAGTGCGCTTATATCAGAATAGAGGCACATACGCCTATATGTGCGTTAGTACGGTACATGTATGTAAGTCTGCGTGTTAAGTTATTAGACACCCTAAGAAAAAAAAGTTGTTGTAACGGTATTATTGTAAGGGGGAAAATACCGTGATTTGGGTTCGACCTTTAGCAAGATGCACGCTATTTTTAGTACGCTGTTGACACGAGAATAGCTTTGATTTCACGCGGTACAATCATTTTTGTCACCATATACGCGAAACAAGGTGAAATGCGTACGGACCATGCAATATTTGGCTAAAACACGTACCGTTGGTCACAACGATAAATCCGCCCCCATAACGTTTATACGCTGCAGCTTCAACGCTATTTGGGTGATCAAGGTACGAGTACCGTTGTTTGCTAAGGATGTCTATTACATTTTTTATGTGACGGCGTTCCACTGTTGCAAGTCACGAGATAATGTTATGGAACCTTTAAAACTTTCCCAATTTTTGCTGTTGTTATGAGTGCACAATTGATCTTATTCCCGTAGCTATGCAAAAGAGTCTGGCGCTAGCCAGGGTCCACACAGCTTTAATTACGTGTTTGTGTGTTTGTTCTGTCGGCATGCGCATATGCCTGGCGCTATCCAAACCTGTCCCGTACCGTACCATCAAAGACAGCTGGCCACAATATTCAAATAGGGCTTTCAAATGCAAGATCACAACGTGAAGCAACTTGGAAGAATGAGTATGGTACATGCAGAAGCCTTGCTTGGTAGTTTAACATGTTTTTCGATTTTGACAGCATGTTGCAAGGCGAGGACGCATAGTGCTCCTGACTACAACCATAACGGACTCTGCCCACCGGGTTATGGTTGTAGTCAGGAGCACTATGCGTCCTCGCCTTGTTACATGCTGTCAAAATCGAAAAACATGTTAAAGAATGAGTATGTATGCGAAGTAAAGTGTATCGGGGGGGGGGGGGGGGGGGAATGCATGCAGGGCGATAGTGTGGGTTCGAATTCCAGGTTATGGCTTGAAAAAATAGGAGAAATGAAAAATTTATAACGTCCCTGTGCTTTTTTTTGCCTTGGTCATCAAGATGGTAGACGGTGTCGTATTACCCTTGAATGATCAGCTAGGCAGCTAGGCAAAAAAGGCAAAGCGTAGGGGCCTGAGCTTCCAAGCGCTCTCAGTTATTGCCATTTTTTTAAGAAATAAGAAAAAGGGGGGGGGGCTGCGACTTACAATCGAGCATGACGTTCTACTGAAGTGAGTATATCAAAACATTATGACTCAAACCTGAAAATAGGGGTGCGACTTATAATCGAGTGCGACTTATGCTGTAGTCTGGGAACACGGTAGTTGTGGGCAATCGGGTCAGCAAGACGTTCCACACACCTAGCATTCACTCAGCTCACACCTCTCATATCCATGGACAACGACATAACACTGACAACACTACTCTCACCTGTAATTGCTGCTCTTCACGTTTGTGGGCCTTGAGCGTTTCAAGCAGCTTTTCTCTCGAAAGCATCGCTTCTTCCAGCTGACCCTGGACGAGTGGAGGTTCTAATTCTGCATGCTGTGAAATCTGGATCACGTGACCAAACAAGAAGGCAGAGTACTCAACGGTACGACAAGAGTACAGCAAGGGTACAGGCAAACAAAACAACTTCTTTTCTTTTCTTGCAATGGTTGGTCATCACTTCTCTCTCGCACTTTGCGTGCCAATTGGTCATGTGCCACGAGATAAGTGAAATAAATATTTTTTTAACTCTTTTTGACCTCATATACTCAAATCAAAACAATAATGTACTCTAATTCCTGCAATAAAAAGTCATTCACAGTACAGTCGTACCTCTCTAATCCGGCACTTGTTTATCCAGCACCCTTGCAAACCAGCACACTTTCTGGCAAAACGGATTTTTTCAGTTCATTTTCTACGCTTGAATCCGGCACTTGAATTCCGCCTCCAGCAGCGATTTTCTGCAACAAATCACTCAAACTGTACATAAAATTGATTTTCTAATCCAGCAGTTGTACATCGCATACCATCAGGGAGCATTGTAACGTACACAACACATGTAACATACACTTGGGAATATCCTAACCCAGTACACAGGATATTCCCAAGTGTATGTTAAAGACATGCATTCCACAAAGTACTTGGATTGACACAGAAAATCCCTACATTTCGACGTACAACACCAACATGATTGTATCAAGAGTCCATAAACAAGAGTGTGCAACGCCACATAGATATAGATGTCTGTCACGACTCGTTTTCAACATTACGTCATTTTCATGTAACTGCGCGTGCACTGCAGGCGCTAGGCCGCGACATTCGCTACATGAAAAAGACGTAATGTTGAAAACGAGTCGTGACAAGACCCTATCGCGCGTTGCACACTCTTGTTTACATGGTTTATGGACTCTTGATTGTAAGTTTAACCGGTGGGCCTGGTTGGAGGGCAGGATTTGATAATCCAGCACCCTTGTTTATCCAGCAGAAAATGCCGTTGCAAAAGGTGCCGGATTAGAGAGGGACGACTGTTATATTATTACTTGTAGTAGCATGGTTAGTTACACTAAAGTCAAAACTGTTTTCACCCTGAAGATCGGCAATGCCCGAAATTTTGGATATTAAATTTTAAAGGTGAAAAGGAGACTTAAGGGTCATGCACGTTCCGGGAAATTCCCTAAGCTACAGTCTAGATGTTTCCTTGTCAGTTCAACAAACAACCTTGCTCCAGCATTGGATTGCTTAAACTGTTGCAAAAGAAGGATACACGAGCAGGATTCGAACCCAGCACCCCTATCTTTCCGGGACAGTTCCCTACCAATTAGGACCCGGTTACACATGCACAAGCGACATCACAGTAGCGAAAAATTCCATGGTTACGGCGAAAAGCGGAACTTCCACTTCCTCCAAAATTTTCGAAGCAAAACTGTCGCTTCTGCGGTTTTGCTTCAGCAGAAAACACCACGGTCTGCTGTATATGGACTTGATATGAGAAATGTGTATGCGTATGATGTCCATGCAACAAAAATGCGTGCAAGATAGTCATTGACCTTGTCTATTCTCCAAATCGTATGCACCACAGTCCACTTTTCTCACATTTTCCGCCAAAGTAGGAGTTTGCCCTGTTTTTATGTGTGACCATACACACGTGGTTTCACTGGAGCGACACCAGGCTCGCTGTTGCAAAACCTCGATGCCGAAGCGAACCCCAGTGCAAGTGTGTAGGGAGTTCAGTCACGTGACAAATCAGCCGAAAACAGCCTTCACGCGGGTCACGTACATTAGCATGGTAGCGGTGGCACCATGGACTTCACTGCAGTTTTTTTCGAACTGCTTTGTCCTGCTTTCTTTTTCCAAGTTGAAAGTTGGTGCGTTTGATAGCTGAGGTCTTCCTGCTCGTTTGTGCCGCACTTGCTTCGGCAACTGTAGTTTGAGCTTTTTGTTGTGGGGAGTGTAGTTTTCAATTGGATTTTTCATCCGTTTGGAGGGAGTACACGGCCAGGAAACACCCACCATCGTGTTCAGCGACCTCGAATTATGTAGAATAGTGCTTTCTTCTCGAGCTGGGGGATCGCTCTTCATCGCGCTTTCACCTCCTGGTCACCCAAAATGAATGAATTTCTGGACCCAATAATGGGCAATATGTTCAAGCGCTAGGAGTGTTTCAGATGATTTGTTGGCCCTAGTGAAAGATTGCACCTGACAGAGACTTTCGCTATTGCAACAAAGTGAGCTATGATTTTGTATTCGACTCGTCGCCTTGAAACCAGAAAGAAATTGCTATGGAGTGGTGCTCTGACATGGATCGCGTCAGTGGGCATCTGAAGACCAAACTGCTGTTTTTATTATTTGTACATGTATAATACAACCATAGCCATCAGTGCTCACTTCAATTTCATAGTAATGGAACTCGTGTTCAATGGATTTAGCATTGTTGCTATGGTGGTTGCTACGGGCGCCGCGCTCGTTCTCATTGCCCATCGCTTGCCGAAATATTATATTTTGGTCAACATTAGGACTAACTAACCTGTATTGCACCTATATTGCACCTACAAGCCAGATTTCATAGCATTCTGACAATATTGTAATGTTGCTAAGCGTTTGCTAGGCTTTCCGGAAAACCCTGTTGGTGCCAGAGCAGTATGGCATTCCGCATACATCATGATGAAGGTTGGCGTATGACTTTGACGCCTCAAATCTCTGGTATCCTTCAAGATTTTTCATCCAAATATTCTGTGCCATCTCCAGTACTGTAGTTCTTCCCGAAAACAAACAGTTTTCTTTGTTTACTACGGAAGAAAAAAAATACGGTGATATCCCTACCCTTAGGCTACCGGAGATCACACGCACCCGTCCCGTGCCCGTGGGTCCTTCTTGCTACAAAACTCACTGGTGCTTGACTGCGGTCCATGCTTGTCCACGAAGGCTTCTGCTACTGTTGCTGCTGATGGCGTTGCTGGTGTGCTGGCTGTGGCTGCTCCTGGGGTTGCTCCCGGGATTCAGGTGATGCTTGCGACCGCGCTGGCAGACCACCAGACCGTGCCGGTTGTGTCTACTTGTACAAGGAACGGAGAGATCACCAATAACAGGATTCAACAGAATAAATGAAGCGAGTTGCGCATTCACCATGTACACCTTTTGTGAGCGGTTAAAGGGGAAGTATACCCTAAAATCAAATTTTCACCAGTTGTAGTCTTCGGGGTGCTGAGTCGAATGGTCTTGGTCCGAGGAAGCTGAGACGCTCCCTTCCTACTTGAATCCCAATCGAACTCGCGCACTTCCACCGAAACTGGGTGACTGCGCCCTACTAGATGGGGATTTGTATGCAAAATGTCACTAAAAGCGCCATTTCGTTCTTATAAAAGCACGGATGACCGCGATTGGCCCATATGTTGTAGTCTTTTGGACGCTGAGTCGACTGGTTTTGGTCCGAAAAGGCTGCGATGTAGCGTTCCTCCTTTATTCCCAATCGAACATGGTTGAACAAGCGGTCACGTGCTTCTGCGTACACCAGTCACCTGGTCACCGTGCCTGCAGGGTACAACTTACTAGCCTGTTTGACCTTTTTTGGGTGCACTCCTGTCACTCGAGTTGAACTCGAGTTGAACCTTGGTGTGAAATTTGTCGCCTGCTGGCGTGGTGACCAGGTGATTTGGGCACCCAGGAGCACGTGACCGCTTGTTCAACCATGTTCGATTGGGAATAAAGGAGGAACGCTGCATCGCAGCCTTTTCGGACCAAAACCAGTCGACTCAGCGTCCAAAAGACTACAGCATATGGGCCAATCGCGGTCATCCGTGCTTTTATAAGAACGAAATGGCGCTTTTAGTGACATTTTGCATACAAATCCCCATCTAGTAGGGCGCAGTCACCCAGTTTCGGTGGAAGTGCGCGAGTTCGATTGGGATTCAAGTAGGAAGGGAGCGTCGCAGCTTCCTCGGACCAAGACCATTCGACTCAGCACCCAGAAGACTACAACTGGTGAAAATTTGATTTTAGGGTATACTTCCCCTTTAATAACAGGACTAGGATATTTTCAGAACAAATTCGCCATGCACATAGAGAACTGGAGCACATATTAAAACGGTGCCAACTAGCGGGTATTCAGTGCAGGGCTGAAACGAGTATATCGATTACTCGAGTACTCGCTCGAAAATAATTTGCAGCCAGCGAGTAGATCTACTCCGTACTCGGTTCAAATCCGAGTCTAGTACTCGAGTACCGATTGCAACATTGCGGGGGTTCACTAGTCACTATGGCAGTCTATGCGCTGCAGTTACATGTATGCGTCATGTCAATCGACTGCATGCTAGCATGACGTGCAGAGTACAAGTACAACGCGCGCATGCGTGGGGGGGGGGGGGAGAGAGAGTCAAGATGAACCTTTTCCAGTCGATCGATGTTTTGTTGTTTTAACGAGTAAAATAATCCTACAGGCTAGACACTGTAGTAGACAGTCATGTAGATGCTTTGTTTGTATCTCTAGGCCTTGACGGATTATGCTAGCATAAGGTTTCGCATAATTCCTACCAAAATCGAATAACATCAAGATACAAGTGCAATAAAACCCCTTCCTTCTCGCAAACCGTTCCCATATCGCTTCCGTCGAGTTCCCTCTCAGTGCTGGGACTCTATGAACGCTGATTTCTCCTGCCACGACTGGTCGTTTCTGCAACCAGAAGGCTCTCCAACTGTTGACGCCGCGGTAGATCACTTTGCAGCCGTCCTTGAACGAGGGTTCCAACAGCACCTCTCTAACTTTGCTATCGGCTACAACAACCGGAAACATTCCAACCCAACATCCTCGACATCTAGTCCCCCATGGGTGACACGGTCCCTCGTATCTGAAGTGAAGCGCAAGCGTGATCTTTTCAGCATCTACAAGAAATTCCCAACGCCGGTTAACCGGGAGGCTTACCGAGTTCAACGCAACTTCGTCAAGCACCTTTCTCGTACCTCACACCGCTCCTTTCTAAACTCTCTTTCTGCAACACTCTCCTCCCCCGATCGCCCATCACTCCACCAATTCATTCGCAACCAGTGCCGCGGGACCTCCCGCGCGCCAATCCAGTACCTGACGGACTCCAATGGCAACCGCCAGCACGATGTGAAGGCGATTGCAGACACACTGAACAAGCAGTTTGTTTCATCCGGCATTCCGGAGGATCCGAATTGGGACATTCCATCGCTGTCCCCAGCCCCTGAACTTAGCGCACCACTCACACGCGTCGTTACCACGACTGCTACCGTCTGTAAGCACCTCAAACTCCTGAAGAATTGTAAGTCCCCTGGCGAAGATGGCATACCCAATGAGGTTCTCAAATGGCTTGCGCCATCTCTGTCCTATCCCTTGTGCCTGCTCTTTAACATGTCATATCGTACAGGAGTATTTCCGTCCGTCTGGAAATCTGCTGTTATCGTCCCGATCTATAAGAAAGGCCAACGCTCTCAGGCTGGCAACTACAGACCAATCTCTCTCCTTCCCGCTGTGTCAAAGGTCTGTGAACGTATTTTCTTTGAGTCTCTGTACTGCTACGTCACCCCAGCGCTTTCACCATCTCAATCCGGTTTCTGCCGTGGAGACTCCACAACTTTCCAACTAACACGTCTAGTACAAGACATCTACACCCAGCGGAACCTCAGGCGGCATGTTGGCATCGTGTTCTTTGACCTAGCGAAAGCTTTCGACACCGTCTGGCATCGTGGTCTGCTTGCAAAGCTAGAGTCCGTCTTCTTGGTACATGGTCCAGCCCTGCAATGGCTCTCATCCTATCTTTCCTGCCGCCACCAGACTGTCAGAGTATCTACCTCCCTATCAGACCCATTACTAGTCGTGTCTGGGGTACCCCAGGGGTCCATACTTGGGCCGCTCCTATTTCTACTGTACGTTAATGACTTGCCAGCCCTTGTACCAAATGTAAGTCTTTTTGCTGACGACACTGCTCTGATGTGCTCCGACAGCTCGGCAGACAACCTCACGGCCTCCATGCAGTCCGGGGTCAACGCTACAGTAACATGGATGGAAACCTGGAAACTGAAGCCTAACCTCGCCAAAACCGAGGCCATGTTCTTCTCTCCCTCGCCCCCCACTCAGCTTCTGTATTTTCCTGGTCTAAATAGTACACCTATTAAAGTTGTTAACGAGCACAAGCACCTGGGCGTTATTCTCGACCGCCAACTCTCCTGGTCTCCACAAGTCCAGTCTGTGTGCAAGCGTGCGAGTGCGTCCTTAGGTATGCTACAACCCCACTGCCAACACTTGAATGATAACTGCAGAAAATTGTTCTTTAAGTCGTACATTTTGCCTATATTTGACTATTGCGATATAGCTTGGTGCGGGTTGTCTCAGACTTTACTCCTCAGACTGGAAGTACATCAACGCTTGCTTCTGAAAATTCTGTTTCGAAAAGACCAAACATTTGCCTCCCTTTGTCTTTATAAACTTGCTTCCACGCACCCTCTTCTTGCCCGACATCAGCAGCATCTTTGTATCCTTGTGCAAAAAATCTTCCTAGCCCAAGTCCCGAAACATATTGCCAAGTACAACTGGTTTGTTACCACTAGACCAACACGCAATGCCTTATCACTGCCCCGAGCTAGTTCCTCTCTGTTTTTGAAATCCCCTTTCTTCTCAGCATACTCCCTTTGGTCTAACCTGCCTACTAGCATTAAGACATGCCAGGATATCAGGAAATTCAAAGTCCAGCTTTCCACACTGTCTCATCCGAAGTGATCCCATGTATTACTAATGTGCCTCCCTTTCTTTTTCTCTCCCTATCTCCTTTCCCTCTCTGACAGCATCTTTCTTTTTCTCCCTTTTAGCTTGCCGTGGTTGGCTATCACCTGACCTCTCATGTTTATTGGCAGTCTTCGGACGGGCCAGGAGATGTTGAATAAATAAATAAATAAAACCACTGGAGGAAACGCAAAAAAGGTAATTACATAACCAAAGGCGAGAAGGCACTGAACGAAGTGTCAACCTACGAATACAACTTCAGTGCAACAATGTGCTCTTTCTGCTTACACAAAACAGGCTTATGAATACGTATACAAACTGCCTCTAGGACTTTCAACTGTTGGACATAACGCGCACGACACAGTACTGAAAAATGAGAGTCATCATACACACCAAGACAGTCAGGACGAGATAACAAGTGTAGATACACAGCCGACTTCTTACGATCAACACATTCATCCGCCCCATCTCGCTCCTTCCCACCCGACTCCTCCTCGTCCATCTCATCGTCATCTTCCTCGTTCCGCTCGTCATCCTCACGATCATCATCACCACCATCATCTGCCTCGTCCTCTGTCTCCTCACCAACCGTTTCGTCATCCAATTCCTCTTCCATCCTCTGATCATCCGTCCCATCCTCCGTTTCAGTACAGACCACTTGTCTCCCATTTGCTAGCTGCTCGTCCCTTGAGCGGAGAATCGAATAAGCGCATAATTCGAGGCAAATTGCATACGAATCGCATAAAATTGTAATAATCCGCCTGTTCGCATCAAATTCCATACAGTTGTACATGATTGTTCTACAAGTACAAGTACAAGTAGATGCACTAGGAAGTTGTAGGTTTACGACTCCCTTGATAACATGTCCAGTCTACTACAATCAGTGATGGTCGTAGCTAGGTCGCCTAAGGTCGGACGGTGCATGCGTTGACCCCGTTGAACTTTTGCTACTACAGTACAACGCCCTCTACAAAAAACATTCCCCTGTTATTTTGCACAGAACCATTATGCATTAGCAGCATATGTGAGCATAATGCGGCATAATAGGATAACTTTTAGCATAAAAATAGCATACTTCTGCAATTTTTTCAGCAATGCGAAAAGCATAATTTCACGAAAATATTAGCATAATCCGTGAAGGCCTATATATCTCCCATCTTTGTTACAGCAATAATATACTGATCACTGTCATCAGCCATGAGTCCATGACACTTGCACTCATACTACGCATAGTGTATTCCAGTGCTGACGTAATCTCCTCAAAGCTTCGTGGTTGCGGCACTGCCTTAGCCTACATTACAAGTACTAGTACCTTACATAACTAGCGAATAGCATTACTATGTTTTATCGTCTGATGGGTGTTTATCAACACGAAACTCGGAGTTACGAGAAAGATTTTTGTTCTCTGTT